ACCGCCCCTGCGCGCGCGTCACGGGGCACCGACCCCGCCGGGCACCCCGGGAGCGCTCGGGCAGGGTGCTCCGCTCATCGGTTTCATCTTTTCATCCAAGCATGAGAGCTCTGCCCTTCCTTACATCCCTATTGCTCTTGGCGGACTAAGAAGCAAGYCGAAAGACGGACAAGGCGGCCGCGTGCGTGCGCTGAGCTGGGCGCCATGGGAGCAGGCGGGCGAAGCGGCCCGGCCGTTCCCCAAGGAAGCCCCTCGAGGGTCCCTTTGGATCTCAGGGTACATTTGGAGGGGCCGGTCTGTGCTTGGAGCTGCAGCCGCGGAGCCCCCGCCGCGCTGCCCTCCCTCCCGAGCGGGCGCCGGGCGCTGCACGGGGCGTCTGCACCCAACGGGGGCAGCCCCGCCACCCACCCGGCCTGTCCCGCACCGTGGGGCACCCAGGGGCGCCCGGGGAGGCTGCCCCACATTTGCTTTTCCCCCCTGCTTCACCCCAGAGGGTCCACACCAGTTTCCCGTTACAAGTACCTTGGCATCTCTCCCTTTCCTTTGCCAGGGAAAACACGGCTCTGCGTTACGCTGGGCTCTGTGGCCTTCGGAGTTACTAAGAACTTTCTGCAAAGCATGGGGGATTTACCCTTGATATAAGGAGGAGATCTGCAGAATGATAAAGGGGAGGAAATGGTCTTTATGGAGGTAAATAGAAGTTTCGTGATTATTTATTTCTGTGACTTTCACCTTTAGTAAGTGGGTGGTTTGTAGAGCGCTGTCTTATCAGCCCATCGCTGTTTGTGTCCTYATTTGGGTTGTCCTAGAATCCCAGGATCACAGACTGGGTGAGGTTGGAAGGGACCTCTAGAGACCATCCAGTCCAACCCCCTGCTCCAGCAGGGACACCCAGAGCACGGGGCACAGGGCGGCATCCAGGCGGGTCTGGAAGATCTCCAGAGAAGGAGACTCCACAGCCTCCCTGGGCAGCCTGTTCCAAGCTTGTCCTGGTCTTTACCTACTGGTTCTTTCTTGGTGGTTGCCTGGTGCCCTGTGGCACTTCCTAGGCAATGGGTCCCACCTGTATGTTTTGCCCAATCCAGGCACCAAAATAAGCAAGCAAGTCACCGAGATGGGTAGAGATTTTTGCTTTCAGATCTTCCTTTGAGGAAGTCCCATGTTTTGTTCAGTGAGGAGTTCCTTCTTCCTGCCAGGATCCAGGCAGGTGATTGTGGATACTTCACAGCAAGGAGCAAGGTGCCAAGATGTCCAGAGAGCCACGGCCAGAGCTGTATTGCATGCATGTATTGCATGCATGTATGTATGTATGCATGCATGCACGTATTGCAGCATGGCAATATGCACAGGTTAATCGACAAGAGTGAAAAGCTACATTTAAGTACTAAGAACAATTTTCCAAAGGTTTATTGACTGTCTTGTTACTGGAAATGTTTTATATTTTTACTTTTAAAATATAGCCAAAATATGTGTCAGCACATAACTTGGTTACTTTCATGTGTCCTGCAAACATAGGGGATATCCACCTCTGAACGTGCAGGATCTTATCTGCCAAAGTATAGCTTGAGGGATGTGATTAGTAACCAAGTAATTAGCTGTTTATAATTTTGTCTGCTTTGAAGCTGGGAATTGCGATTCTCATTTCCTGCTAATTTGTGCTGGATGTTGTACTTCTATTAAGCAACCTGTGTATTTCCCAAATCCCACCTTTCATTGTRTTTAACAGGTAAGTACATCTCTCTACCTCATGGTTGCAAAGCAAGTCTAAAAAATACAAACTGACTTGTATTGATACCGAGTAGATTTTAGATGGATTTTGAAACCAGATACTTACGCATACATCATTCACTACAGTTACATGTTCATTTACATGCTCAGTTTTGGCTCTTGGAAGTGTCGATTTTGTTAACAGCTTCACTTCCTGCACTTTCTGTATTAGAAAGGCAAGAAAAAAAATGCTAACTGGTAGAGTTATCCTAGAGCGTAAGCTAAACCAATAAAATCTCACATGTTAACATGTGCAGCTGTGTTCATGACATATCTCAGTTTCAAAAAGGCTTTCCTTTTCCTTTTCCTTTTCCTTTTCCTTTTCCTTTTCCTTTTCCTTTTCCTTTTCCTTTTCCTTT